TTTTTGTGGGTATTGTTGGGAGTGAGAAAGACAAATTGCATAGGATATGTGCTTTTTGTCTCCCAAACTCTAATGATTCTCCTGGCAGTTCTATAGTCCATTTTGTTAAATCTTCTTTCTTGTCCTCGGGTTTGTTTTGATGTCCTGACAAATAAAGTATGTTTTCCATTTTTATTGTTATGGTAAAAGCTTGTAGACTTTTTCCTGTTTTGTGTTAAGTTGTAATTCTCTTCATTTGTAGCTTCACTGTTTAAGTCATTTTCTTCAAGTTTGTGTTCTATTATCTGATTTGTTTGTTCATTCTTTATCATCATTTTCTGAGATTTTTTTTATTGTACGTTTAGATTGGAGATGTGCTCATTTATGTCATCAAACTTGTTTTTGATCTCCTCATGGTTTGAATCCATTGTCATTTGTATCTGTCATAGCATTGCATACATTTCCTCCTGAAAAGTATTTGTCTTGTCTTGGAATATTGCTTCCGGAGGTCTCTGATATTCCAGGCTAGATCTTTCAGGAGTAGATATTAGATGTGGTTTCCTGTCATTTTTGAATAAGTATACAATATCCATATTATCTCCCCCTTCCAAATAGTCTTTCATCAGTGCCATAGTCTCTATGATTAGCCTTGTCAAACCAGCCAATCTCAGAATCCAAACTATCCAATTTTCTTAGTTTCTAGATTTATCCAGACTGCAGTATTATAGATTTCATTTAAATATATTTCTTTTTCCCTTAAAAAATTAATTTGCCACTTCCATCTATGGAGGAATGGGGGTATAGTCCCCTCCCTTCACTTTCAGAGGATTTCTTACTTTGGGGGTTTTTCCCAAGGAATCAGTTACAAAATAAAAGAGAGAAAATCAATACTCTCACTAATTCCAAGCATGCTATTCACCGTTGTTCTACTTTATGTTCTTGGACTTTGGCTACAAGTAGCTTGGGCTAGACACTGGTGTGCAGCTAGCCTTTTTCCTGTTGGGTTAGAGGGCTTCCCCCAGATTGAACAGATTGACTGCCATCATTCCATGTTCATCGGAGCACTCCTCTCTCTTTGTCGCTTCTCCGGGGGGACTTTTGACCCATTTGCGGTTCCCTGGCAAAACTAGAGATACTAGATGAGGGGTGTGGAGCTCTGCAATCCCATGGCAGTGCACTATGGTGCAAAACCAGAAAATGAAGTCTCTAATTTGGAGTTTTAATATAGTTACACATACCTCTTTTTGGAAAACGGAATATACCAAAATCTATCTATCTATCTATCTATCTATCTATCTATCTATCTATCTCTCCTTCCTTCCTTCCTTCCTTCCTTCCTTCCTTCCTTCCTTCCTTCCTTCCTTCCTTCCTTCCTTCCTTCCCTTCTTCTGTTTACCATCAAGAACTAAACACATAATGTTTTGCATAGTACCACTGAAATTTTCTCACACTTTCTGGAATTACTCATTTAATATACTGTAGAATAATATTTACTTTGTTTGCGGCTACTTCACATTCATGATTCATCATTCTGTGATGGATAAATCCCAAGGTCTCCTATACTTCTATCATCACCAAAATACAATTACAGACAGAGGGGGGAGTTCCATTTAAAATACTTTGTATGATGAAATTTTATCCCTTTTCAATTACTGTATTCTAAGAAGTTCTATCTGCCTAATCTCCCAGCACTATCTTTCTCAACAATGACTCCCAACTTTATGCCATTACAAAATTGCATGAATACATTGCTTTATCCACTGCCACAGTTATTAAAATTAAATATTAAACATTTTCCCCAAGACTAATCCTCAATCATTTCCCTTGAAAGGTTCTACCCATAGATTCAACACCATTCCCTATTCAGTGAATTATTGTACTTTTTTTATACCCTCCATTCCACTTCACATGTAATGTCTGCTAGCCAGCATGATTGAAAATCTCAGCAGTCTTGTGAGTAATATCTTCTTATCTCATCCATTTCATCAATTTTACCAGGGCTAATCAGTTTTATCGGAACAATTCTGACTAAACATTTTTAACCTTATTCAATATAGAAATTAAATTGGCTGCAGAAATGGAAGGCAAAAAAGCGAAGTTTAAACTATGTCAGAAGATCCATAAGGTATAATTTAAAAAAAAAATCAAGTCACAGCTGTAACAGTTGAAAGTGCCACCTTTTTTGTGTGCATTGCTGGTCAAGTACAAAGTAGCAATCTCATGATTACATTCATCACCCCAACCTTTTGGCAGACATACACAAACACACTTGTTGATTGAACTGTTTTTTGGTTTATAGTAGTGGAATATCTGAGTTTACAAAACCAAAGTTTAGAGTTTGCTAAATATGTATCATATTATTCTTATGCAGATCTCCTAATTCCAACTGAAACTAGCATTCTGTTTTGTTCTATTCTTTTCTATTTTTCCATTTAAATTAGTACAAACAAACAAGGAAACACATAGGCTCTAAGAAGAATGAAGCCCTTAGTCTAATTTATTCTTTATGTGAACCATTATTTTGCCGTCATTTCCACATGTCCGGATTTCCTGTATCCCACTCCAAAGATTACAAAATGGTAAATGTGAGTAATTTGTTTGGAACTATCTCCTTCAACTACTGAAGCCGATATTTTTTAGCTTTGCTGGTGTTCACCATATGACAGGAAAAATCATATTCTCCCAATGAGTGATTTGAATCCCAGAAGGAATGTTCAGAAGATATGATCAGAACATTAAGTTACTGACCATGATAGTGCCTTGAGATTTTGAAGATGGTGCCATTTTTAGAGCATCACCGAGTTTCAATCACACCAGCATGGCCGCAAATTTGAGTTTTTCACCATGCCTTGCAATTACCCAAATCATAAACTAACAACTGCATCATCTACAGATTCTGTCAGCATCACAAATTAATGATTTGAGTCTAAAAAAGTTACAGTATGAAAAGAGAGATATATCAACATTTAATTATCAAAAGTAGATATATGCTGAAACTTAGATAGACTATAATTTTGATGTTGTGTATTGGAAAGCATATGAAAGCCTGATAATCAAAGCAAATTGTTTTTTCAATTCTCCACATTGGTCAGAAGTTCTTACTGTGATAGCAGTCTGGTTTTCTTTTATATAGATATTCTACATTAAGTCATGCACCAGTATATCTATTTAACCTGGGTTTTCTGCTAATTTTGCTTCCTTTAAAAGACTTGTAATTATTTTATTGTATTGGGAACACAAACCTGGGACATGACTGATTGACACAAAGCTACTGCACAGTTTGTTCCAAAGTATCCCAAGTAATACATTTCTCTGTGTCTTTCATGAGATAGGAAAGACAAATTCAGCAATCTGACTCTTCAAAGAAGTTGGATTGTCAACAATCAAAGCTATTGAATCATACCAATTTTCACTCTGGCCACATACTGAGCATTTTGTACTTCCACTGAATCAAATGTTAACTTTAAATAAGTTTAATGAAAGAGAAAGAATTAACAAAGGAGAGTGGATTAATAAGAAAGATAAAGAGAAATTGTGGCAGAGTAGACTTGTTCTTTGATATTATGATACTGCATTTGAGTTAGTTGAAGAAAGCACTTTTTTGAAATTTCATAAAATACAGTTTTGTTCATCAAAAAGAAATCTGAGAATCTGGAATAAATTAGATCATATGAAAGACCAACTAATATATCAACTAACTTTATCTTGAAAGTGTTAATTTTAATATTAGGTCAGTAAATTGTTCAATGTTGGCTTTTATGGCTTGGGAAATTTGACAAGACCTAATTAACAAAACTTGCATTATTTAATTCATTTTAATTTAAAACATTTACAGACTTCCCCAAGATGGCCAGTTCTGGGTTATGCACATGAGTAAATGAAAAACAAAATATCTCAAAGTAAAACAATGCAATTGTCATGGTTCCGATAGAAGAGACCAGTAAAAACAGAACTCCAAGGCAGAAACCTTCCTTAAAGAACATATTTATTGGCTACAAAGTATTGGCACAATCAAAAGTGAAACCAACACTGAAGTTTCCTCTCAAAGATTACAATGTTGCAAAGTCGAACTTCCCACTCCAGCATCATGTCATAAATCAGATTCCCCAATTAACTACTTTGGCGGGCTTTCTAACAGAAAGCTTAGCCCTACAAAATCCAGGCAGCAATGCCCTTGGTTCCCACAGGACAATTTATTGTTTTGTCTAACTATAAAAGCACACATCCCCACTCCCATACTGTGAAAACTGAAAACAAAGTAGAATTTGTTTTCTTTAGCCAAATTCGTTGAAGAATTGACATCAATAATTCCACCCATCATTTTTATCATAAATGGACATTCCCACTCATCCTAGAGCTTAAAGACCACCAAAGCAGGATAATTTTAAGTGATTTCTTAAGAAAGAAAGATAAGAGCCAATTATACATAGGGATAGTATTTTCCATAACATATGGGCTACCACCAAGAAAATCTCTCTTCTAGTTCTAGACCTCTTCAATACAAGTTAGGGCAGACCCTCTAGTAATGTGTCAGTGCACACACCATTCTGGAAAGTCCAAAGTTTCCCCAGATTTTACCACTGTTATGCTTCCAGGTGCAATTCAAGATGCTGGTTAACTCATTTAAAGCACTGTATATGGCAGAGCCAAGTAACTTCTGGGATCCCTTATATCTGCCTACCTTGCCATATTTTTATGCAGATTATGCACTGCATATCCTATAAGAGCATATCTCCAGATCCCTTCTGTTAAAAGTGCCAACTTGTGGGACTGAGGAGTTATGCTTTCTCTTTTACAGTGTCTGAATTATGACATACTTTAGTTCTGAGTTTGCACAGCCCTGATCTTTATGGCCTTTGATAAGACTGTGTAGACCAAGGGTGGAAGGGAGGAAGAAAACCAGACAGCCAGACAGATAGACAGTCATTGACTAATTAAACTACAATCTAGAAGGAATTTTTGCAACATTTTGAAAATTTAGATTTTGAACCAGGCAGAGCCACATGTGTATATCAACTTACTTGAAAATTGAATGGCAAATCCAGATTTGCTGATATAGAAGTCTGTGTCAAATTGTATTGTCACTACATTGAGAGTGCTGTGGATGCCTTCTGGAATAAGAGAGCCACTAATTTCTTTTAACAGCATGTCATTTTCAGGTGGACCATCCCAAACACGTAGAATATCATGTGATGCTTCAGTATCAAATGCTAGAAACTGGAGGCTGTAAAAAACATCAAATATTAATGTCTATTTCAAATAAAGAAATAGGTAAAATAATTGCAACTAAATCTATGCTATGAGTTACCCTTAGATGAGATCATGCAGGGGAGAAAGACACTTGGTTGATAATTAAAAGATCTACATAAAGAGGCCTTAGATGCACAAGGTACTTTGCATTGTGTGAACAGCATTGTTTTCTTTACTGAGATAAAGATTCTCCTCCATGGGTCTTTATGCCTTGAAGACGTATTATGTAGATCTAATATAAGAAAATATTTGGTGTATATGCAATGCATGCACCAAAGTTTCTTCTGGCACTGAACAGAAATGTCAGATGAGGCTTCTGTATCTGTTAGCACTGCTAGACTAGGAGTCATAAGGAAGGCAAAGTAAAGCAATGAACCCATCCATTACTTCTTAGAGATTCCAAACAACCATCAGTCCTTTATCAACCATCAATTCAGCCCCAACCTTACAATTATCTTACTCCCTAAAGATATGGGACAAATATTTGGTCACTCAAAACTGCTCTAAGTCATTTTAGCCCAGCAGATAATGTAGTAGATAAAGCAACTACTATGGCCCATCTGCCAAGCACTATCCCAGCTATGTTTATATTTATATTGAAATTTCCCCAAATAATATAACAGCTTAAATTCTGAATAACAGGCAAAATCTATACTAATAAATGCGTTCCAGCCAGATTTCTTAGTTTTTGTATTTCAAAAGATTTTTTCTCCTCAGTCTATCAATTAAGATTGTCCTGGAGTACCTGACAATGTTTCCTGGATCGACTTCGATTATCCACATGCAACGCAGATTATTATCATAAGGAAAGGGATAGCCAGGGGACAAGATTCTTCCTGAAGATTCTCCTTTAAAACGACCTCCACATTCAGCTGGTGAAAACAAAGTGGAAAATGGTAATTATTTCTGATAAATATTGATTATGATGTTTATGCAGCAGCTAAAACATGTAGAATAGGAGGAGTTTCATTCCAAACTTATTATAACATCATCTCTGGGTTGAAAAGCAGGTTGTCCTCACTTACTGACTGCTTCATTCAGCAAGCATGCCAAGTTACAAGGGCACTGAAAAAGGAGATTCATGATTGATCTTTTACCTTGTAGTATCCCAGCATCCCTGTGCTTACACGATCACAATTCCGGTGCTTAACAAGCAGCACACATTTATGATGGCCCCAGTGCCCCACAGTCAAATTATTGCTAATTATGGCCTTCCAGTTGGCTTCCAGAAAGCAAAATAAATGGGGAAGCTTACAGGAAATTGCCAATTAGCGACTTAAGTACTCAATGACCTGTGGGAGTTTGTTTAATACTGCACTCAGAACTGATAGTATAAAATTGGTAATGTTGTAATGTTGCACTTAATAATTGCTTTGCTTAGCAATGGCGTTGCTGGTCCCAATTAAGTGAGGACTACTTGTAATATGCAGAGTGTATACTGTTCCGATATAGATTGGGATCAATAGGTGAAGAGAAAAGAAAGGGAATCCAACCCTTATTATTTATATAATCATTCAATGCCTTTAACTGTTGAAAAAAATAATGAAGAACAATGTAAATCTTGGATGCTTTAATTTGAACTGAAAAAAATGAGATTTTAACTGGGTTTTGATGATTAGATCTGGTTTATGATGATAGAAGTACTTTTTGTTATGGTTCACTCTAGTTCAAATGGCCATTGATTTATAGGTTTTTATCTGTTTCAAAGAAAGTCAGAAGTTCCTTTGTTTTATAGTTTGTTCTTCTTGCTTGCACTCACTATGTTTTTTAATTATCCCTTTCCTATCTTTCTAACTCCTTCTCTTTGTTTTTCTTTTTTGGTATTTTTACTTTTTTTAAAAAAAATGTTTAAACATAAAAAGGAATGAAGAAGAGACAAAATGAGTTAATGTTCTAGGACAACAATTTTCAGGATCTCCTCCATACCTTAAACATGATTTTGTGTGTGTGTATGTGTGTGTTTAATGTGTGTGTATTGCTATTCCATGATTATGATGCAGTTTATCAGTAAAATCAGGAAAAACCTGACTGAAATGCCTTCTTATTCATAAATGTCACTTGGGACTTGATCAATCATTATCCTTCTGTATAATCTACATCACAACATTGTTTTGAGAAAAAAGAAAAAAAGTTCATAAAATGAAGAACAATACAAATAAAAGTACTCCTTTGCAAAGCTAGTTTAGAGAAAAGAAGGATAGGGAGGAAATGATAGCAGTATTCCAGTAGTAATATACTGCCACAAAGAAGAGGGGGTCAACTTATTTTCCATAGCAGCAGAAGGCAGAACAAGAAACAATGGATAGAAACTAATCAAGGAGAGAAGCAATCTGGAATTAAGGAGAAACTTCCTAACAGTGAGACCAATTAACCAGTGGAACAGCTTGCCATCAGAAGTTGTGTGTGCTTCATCACTGGAGATTTTTAAGAAGAGACTGGACAGTCACTTGTCTGAAATGGTATAGGGTATCCTGCTTGAGTGGGGGGCTGGACTAGAAGACTTTGAAGGTCCCTTCCAGCTCTATTCTGATTGATTGAAAGTGATAGAGGTATACTTCTGATAATAAGAAACTGATTACCGATACAAGATGGCAGGGGATAATCCCAAGTTCTCCTTTCTCCAGTCATGCATTTTAGAAGACTACTCCCATGGAGAGTGTAACCAGGATTACATCCATAAATTATAGTGCTGCCAGCAAAATGGCCTTGATCACTGATTTTGTATCCAAATTGTGGAACACCTGGATCCTCACAGTGAGAAAGTTCAAAACCTATGAAAGGAAAGAAAGAAAATCAACAGTGTTTCCAAGATAGATTTTTCCCCCCAAAACATATATTGTTATTTAAAAGTAGGCTGTTTAATGCAATCATTGTTTCTTTGTAGCCAATTAGCTTTTGAGCCCTGATAGCAGTGGTTAGAATGCCATATTGCAGGCTAACTCTGCCCGCAGCCTGGAGGGCAATCTGGACAGGTTCAAAGTTGACTCAGCTTTACATCTTTCTGACATTGGTAAAATGAGGACCCAGATTGTTGGGAGCAATATACAAATAATGCTGACATTCTAAACTACCTAGAGAGTGCTGGAAAGCATTATGGGGCAGTATTTAAGTTCCTGGCCTAGTATTTTTGTTACTACTAATATTTTGAGTTGATGATGAAAGGAAGAGAAATTAATAAAATTGATCAAAAAAAGTTTAGGAGAATTCTTTATCCCAAGCCAGACATTTTGACCATCCATTGAACAATTTGACCATCCAATGTTTATCTTCACAAACAGCATTATATGTATTATATATTTATTTTTAATAGTCAATATATATTAGCTTGGACATACATTTGGATGACATATTATGCAGCTCTTTCTAATAATATATATTCAATATTATTTCTGATTACCTTGGAGTGCACTGTTTTTATCATGTATATAGCAATAACAATAGCATTTAGACTCATATACTGTTTCATAGTGCCTTACAACACTCTCTGAGTGATTTACAATGTCAACATATTTACCCCAATAATTTGGGTCTTCATTTTACTGACCTTGGAGGGATGGAAGTCTGAGTCAACCTTGAGCTGGTCAGGATCAAACTCCTGGCAGTGAGCAGAGTCAGTCCGCAATACTGCATTCTAACTACTCAGCCACCACAGTAAAATAAAGGTCAGAATAATTTCTTACTTGATTCTTTATTTTATTTTCTGAAATACTTACTGGTATATACGAGCTGAAACCCTTCATCTGTACCCTCAGCATCTGAATTAAATTCAAGCCAAAGATGATTTGATGTACTGCTCAGTGTTAGTCCTCTTAGAGAAGCTCCAGTAAATGCACCCAACAAATGTGCTGTATTATCTTTCCCATCATATATCTGAAAAGCAAATTGACTTTAGATAATTTCAATAAGCAGAAAACAGAGAGTAAACACAAAACTTCCCCTAAGATAGATAAGGACTGCTGAATTTACTTAGTTTGATAACACTGAGTATTGCCTCAAGATTCTTAGTACTTTTAAAAAAATGCTAAATTACTTTTTAAAAAATCCATGACAAAGGTAGGACTTCCACTTCAGCACATGATTTATAAACAACTATTTACATTGACAGTCAGCATTTTAATAATGTCCCTCATTTTCTCTTTTCAAGTCATATTAAAAGAGTCTCTGAAGTTTATTTCTATGAAAACAGTTTACTAATTCATATACTGATATCAAAACAAAGCAAATGACTGCAGTGGAACTAACAAACAAACTAGCTATAAGTCTAAAGGACATTGTAATCTATATGCAAATTAGATATCTAGGCTGCGTAGTTAGCTTTGAAGTACCAATTTATTTATTATCTTAAACGATTTCCACTCCCTTGCAGATATCCTTGGAAAATGAGGGGAACATAAGAAATTCTTAAAAAGATAAGGATTATGTACACTTCATATACTAAACTTGGTTACTAAATTAACCCATTTTATGGTTTCATCTAATACACTAAATTATAAACTGCCAGATATGCTGGGTTCATACAACATACAGAGGAGAGAGAGACACAGAGAAAGGGAGAGATAGTTTTTACTTTATTATGTTATAAAAATATAGTTACTACTGGTAGATGCTAAGTTGTTTTTTTTAAAAAAAAACATGGCATAAATTTAGCAAAAGCTCTAATAACTTTTCCAAATTTCAAAAAATAGTTTACATTTGCTTACAAAGTGATGTAGAGCTGATCTTTGAGAAGAAGAAATGAATAAATGAATCATTAAGGTGGGACTTACAGAAAAGATAATAATGTCTTTAGAAAGAGGGAAGTAGGAGAAAGAAACTCAAAATAACCCCATCTTGATTTTCTTTACTATAAGATGCAACAGAGAGAAACTTAAAGAGGCTTTTGAGATCCTGTTATTCTAGGTGATCACAATAAAGAGTAGCTCTATAAACCCTTTCATGCCTATTCATTGACCTAGTCCAAGTTGAAGAAGTCAGAGCAGTCACAGATTGACCCTCATGTGGTTCCACATATTTATGACCAAGGCATGCAAGCATTATCAGTTACTTATGAAACACACTACATTAAGCAACAACTACTTCTGGACATAATTTCAGCATGCATGAAACTTCTCAGGGGAAAGGATTCTTGAAATGCCATGGGATGTATATTCCTAGGAAAGCATAAGTAGAATCTCAGGCTTAAAGCAATTCTTCCTCTAGATACCAGAGTGGACGGTGCCAAATTAATCCTCAATTGACACCCAAATTTAACCCACTGGCTTTTTTTTCTCTCCTGCATGACTTATTCAGGTAAAACTGATCTTGTCCATCCCCACAGGTATATCTTCACATCTGGTTGCAAGAAGTTCAACAGAAGATCCTCTCCACTGTACATCTGCTCTTTGGAATCAGGATAAGGGAAGAGTAGCTCAGATACCCCACTCAGATTTCAATTAGGAAGTGAAGCAAGACATTTGTTGTATATCTGAAGGTTTTATTATTCAGCGCTCAGTAAGGAATTTTAAGAAATCCTCAACTTACAGCCATTCATTTAATGACTGTTCAAAGTTAAAAAAGTGACCTATGACCAGTGCTCACACTTATGAACTTTGTAGCATCCTCCTGGTCACATGATAAAAATATGAGTGCTTGGCAACTGGCATGTATTTACGATGGTTGTATTTAAGGTGGGCTCATATGATCACCATTCGCAGCCTTCACAACTGGTTTCTGACAAGCAAAGCAAAGGGGGGGGGAGCCAGATTCACTTAATGACCGCTTGGTTAACAACTGCAGTGTTAACAAAAAGGATTGCAAAGTTGGGCACAACTCACTGAACAACTGCTTTATTAAGCAACAGAAATTCCGGTCCTAATCGTGGTGGTAAGTCGAGGACTACCTGTTCTGCTGAGCGTCAGAAATGATGCAGCCTCTTCCTGAAATCAATATGTGTCCAGGACTGTCTTTTCCAAATTCAACCCCCTGTCTGGGCTGTTAAATTTCATCAAACTGAGTTTTTAAATAACTGGTTTGCATGAACTGAACAACGACACCTCTGCTTTAAATCCAGGAGTTAGTGTGCTATAAACCGATGCATTTATTTTACAGAAAAGTGTGCAGATGTCATCCAATTAACACCATTTTAATAACCCACCTGTTTTGATCTCAAAACTCAAAGCAAGTTTTAATTCCATTACATGTTCAAATATCAAACAAAGAAAACAAATAAAGAAAAGCAATAAGGATATATTTGAGGATACCCTATACTCTATTTTAAACAGAGACCAATATGATCTTTCACTGATTGGTCGATTGATTGATTGATGACTGACTGATTGATTTTTTTTATGATAAAAATGCTTACAGTAGCATTCTGGAAGAACGAAAGACTAACTATATCTAGGCATACACACAAAAAATATACATTCAGTTAAAGTTCAGTTCATGAGACTGGATAAGGTTAGTCAGAATTCACTTCCACAGATTGGAAATGGTGGAGTAATTCTGTGAAGAATGATACTTTGATATTTAATTGGACATGCTTTATTCCTTCATAATGTTCTGCATCTTTCTTGACCAATGTTTCTCAACTCTAACATCTTTAGGATTGATGGACTTTAACTCCCAGAATTCCCTATTGGCTGGGGAATTCTGAAATTTGGGAGTTAAAGTCCACCCAACTTAAAAGTTGTTGAGGTTGACAAACACTGTCCTAGACTCTGAAATCAATTGTATCTTCAATCTAAACAAGAATCATTTGTTAATATTTTTTAAAATATAACTTAGAATTCTCTTGCAAGCTCTACCAAAACCTTTAAAACATATTTCTGAAAAAAGATATTACTTCTGTTATTTCAAATTATCACACATATGGTCCTTAATACATCCCAAATCTCCCTTTCCCTAGGTAATGTAATCTTTTTTAATGTTAATTATTAGACAGATATATACTCAAAAAGACAATCCATAAAATATTTGGGTCCCCAAGTTGTCCAGCAGCATACTTTCCTTGAATAAATCCTTATGAGCAAATTCAGAAGAAATTCTACTCGCTGCCATTACTGCTGCTTAGTGAGACAGTTGCTAAGTGAGTTTTGCCCCATTTTACAACCTTTCTTGCCATAGTTATTCAATGAATCACTACAGTTGTTAAGTTAGTAACATGGCTGTTAAGTGAATTTGGTTTCCCCATTGACTTGGCTTGTCAGATGGTCACAAAAGATGATCACATGACCTTGGGATACTGCATCGGTTGTAAATACAAGTCAGCTGCCAAGCATCGGAATTTTGATTATGTTTTTCATCACAATTGTGATGAACTGTTTTTCATCACAGTTGTGTGAAAAATAGCCATAAGTGTCTTTTTTTCCCAGTGCCATTAGTGATTACAGTCACTAAACAAACTATTATAAGTCAAGGACTACCTGTATAAATTGCTATTAATATATTATACAGGTGTACATTGACAGGGATTCATACTTATGCAGCCCAAATCCATGACAAAATAAAAAAATGTCATTATTATTTATTGTTTTTAGCTACTTAAAATAAAAAGAAAGCACAATTTATTTTACTTTTCCTTGATGATTTAACTTGAAATAATTTATAATAGCCTAATTAATGGTACCTATTTTCAGAAATAAATGCATCTCGCCCAAAATTGAACATACCTTAAGAACATCTGCTTGTGCTAAATGGAATGTTCTGGCAGAAATATTAATTCCCTTCCCTGCTTGCACCTGAATGCTGTAAATACATTCGTGATTGTTGTCATAGTTGAGGGGATAATTGGGGGACAGTAATATTCCTTCATTAGTGGTGGCAGAAGCTCCACATTCAGCTGCAGGTAAAACAGAATTCAGTGTGTAACTTAATAGAAAAAATACATGAAATTGCAATTTAATAACTGTCCTGCCTGGTCAATGTAAAATTCCTGATAGATATAATCATAAGGAACAAAAAAAAAGTTCATTTTCAAATTCTTCTTCATCTTTTTCTTTTACATTATGTCCCTTGTGTTTTATTTTCCTTTTATTTATTTTTATGGACATTTATGAAAACAGAAATAAAGAAGAAATGGTGATACCTTGGAACAGATGTACAGAATTGGAGGAAAATGTTGATTCAATAGAATTAATACAGGGGTAAATGGCAGTAATAATGATGGGTAAGAAAGAGTTGTATTTCAAAAGTGATAGGGGAAAAAGGATAAAGAAAATAAAGCAATTTCACACAGAAACTACATTAAGGATGACTTTAGAGAATACTTCATTAAACGAAAGGGAATTATACTGTAGGAGAAGTGTCATTTATCCTTATGAATTGCAGTATAGTTAAAAGAAAGAAGAGGGTAATGAAAATACCTGGTTATAATAATGGTAATATTATTAATACAATGAAGGGCAAGGAGAAGTTTGGAAAGTCAGGGATTTAGAATGCTACCTCATTCAAACTCAACACTAAAATTAGGATATCATTTATTTTGGTCACTCCAGTAAAACATGTAGCATTGTGAAAATCATTGCATGTATGTAGATATATAATCTGGAAGCCTCCCTTTCTTAATAATGCTTCTGAAAACATACTAGCCTAAGCAAAATATCTCTCCTTAAAGCATTTTGATTTCATTTCATTTTTCTGAAATGCTTGTAAGGTTGCTTCAAGAGAAGGCCATAGCTATTTAAAATTCTTTCTTATTTTCTTGGTCTTTATGCTGGAAAAACTGACTTTCCTTACACTTCGATAGACAATAATCAGGCCTGGCCTTCAAACATCTATGTTAAAACATCCATGTTAAAAAAGAAGAAGCCAAGATCCTGCTGAAATCATGTGATTGACACTCCACCTATTTTTTATATATGTTGTACCATTTTAATTTTTTTGACCACACCTGTCGACCCCATTAGATCTACCAGGAAATCAGCTCAAGAAGAAAACTAAAAATACACTTAATAAGATTGTCTATATTAACAATGTTGCAAATCTTGTCCTATATAGTGGTATCTCAGTACACAATTGCTTTAAAACTTGTCAAATTTAGTACTCAATGCATTTTGATGCAAAAATGTTGCCCCAGTACTTGGCATTTGTTTAACACTCAACACACTGTGATAGAAAGAGGGCGATGGCTGCAGAGAATGAAAGTCAGCCATGCTGGGAAGGTTATTGCAAAAGAAGAGGTAGAGTCACAGAGGATAGACAGGAAGTCAGCTATGCGGGGAAAATTGCTAACATAGGAAAAGGGGCAGGCAGAAAGTTATTCCCAGATGAAACAAAGGGTCATGTGGTAAATCATGTGGTTTGCTTAGAACTTCAGTACTTATTGGACTGCCTGGAATCCATTAAAATGTACTGAGGTACCACTGTACTTTCTTCTCCCTTCTATACTCCTGTAAAATAGGGAGGTGTCTGAGCCACTTCTGAATATTATCTGTCTGTTTGTGAACTGAAAAACCTGTTTTACATCGTTGTTTTGTTAACAGAGTTTGCTTTTGACGATATTCTTCATTCTCTGCATCTTCCTAGAGACACCCCTGAAAAAAACTGGTGGTAAACCTTTCAACTGATGATTAACTAGTTTGTGGCAATTTATAGCCACCTTTCCTTATTCTAGGAAGAGAGGGGCACTTTTATTTTAAAAAAAATCCAAACAAGCACCATAATAACATATCAAAGCTATCACTGGACAAAATTCTAGTTATTATCACATTGAATGTTTGTCTGAACAAATCCAGGAATCTGTAGATAAAAACAAGTGTTTCTGACATAAATGATATGCACAGAAATCCCAACAAACTAATTATTTCAACAAGCAGTTTTCTCACAGAGGAAAAAGAATCTGCAAACATTAATTTTGTGTAGTATATTTATTTTAAAATACTAATGAGAATGTTACATATAGTATATTCACAAGGCTAAGTATAGGAAACATGGCTGTTAGGTCTTCTGCCTAGAGACGATATTTAGAGAAAATTATCATTTTATCAGCCACATTTTCTTGTTCGTCAATTAAAATATGTTTGGGAATCATTTTGTATGAACTGTTTCCAAATTGATCAGTATTTTCATACTTCACCTAATCAAATTCTATGAGCATCTGGATTTCCTCTACATTTGATCTATGTTTCCATATAGTTTCATCAAAGAAATTAAAATTAATTTTTTTCGCTCAATGGCCATTCCTTAGAGGCTCAGACGAGAGAGCTATTAATGTGAAAAAACTTTTTGAAAGCTATATTACTCTGATAGTGTAAGGAAGACGAGGCGGTTTTTCTCCATGTTGAGCATGTTTAAAACTGTGAAGGCAAACAGTGAACCAGAACATAAAGAGGATGTTATTATAAGAGACAGATTGGATTTTAGGATTAAAAATGCAACCTACTTTAAACTGTTATAAAGAGAACTAATCAGAAGAAGAAATTAAACAGAGTTTTATAAGATTCTTGACAACCATGGGTCAGGCATGATTTGATTAAAATTCCTCTACTGAGCAGAGAGGTTGGATTAGTGTCATTATTATTATATGTTACAGGAATCACAAGACCTTTATGGCAGGACCTACCACCTTTTTTTCAGTTCTTACCCACTACTTAACTCTAATACCCTTCATGTCATTCATTTTGGAAGCAGTAGGTTTCCAGACATTTCTACTGAAACTGATCTGAAGGGTTCTTGGTGAAAAAAAACTGTAGTGAGAAGATGAAAAAGGCTCACCCCCACCAAGAGAAAGAGACAAACACAGATGTTTATAGGTATAAGAAAGATCAAATATTAAATGTGGCAGAATTTTTTTAAGTTAAATATGATTGGATATAAGAATGATAACCAAAACGTGAGATCTTTCTAAATGTTTTCAGATTGGATTTATTAGATGCTAGTTACTGAGTTATTTCATTAGAAGATTGGCAATGCTGTTTCAGACATCTAATGAAGAATTTGGAAACAGGATAATTTTGGCTATAGTCTACTTTTAATTTATTCTCCACATTCAAGAAACCGCCTAGGACAATCTAGCATCCTGCATAGCTACATAATTCATTTCAAATAGAAAGATTGCTCTACACTTCACAGATCTGGCTTTGATCCTGAAAATGTTATTTGTTTCTGAATATTCTTCTCTCATGACACTAGAAATTCCATACAAACAAATTTGTGGAACATCTGTACTTCTGGAACAAAGACAAAAATGACAGCTGATATTTTGATATTTTTTCAAAACTACATGTTAAACACATCCTTAAGGTAGAAATGGATAAACAAAGGAAAAGTTATATAGAACAGTTGAATATTAAAACTCAAAATTGGACTTCATACTAAACCAGAAATTCCTGACAAATCAAAGTGAAAAGACATGAGAAATGTAAACACTGTATTGTATCAGAACTAATAGATGTGCACCATGCTTAGACATGCTGTATAGTTGCAAGTTTATGGACAATGACTACACATACAAGCAAATGAAAGCAGTTGACCACGTACCCACACACCTGGGCAGAGGTGCACTCCACACTCTTCGGCCACCACCAAGGCAGATGATTTCTGAAACTCCCTCTAAGCGGTATCCAGAAGAACAGGAGAAAGTAAGAGTATCTCCTACTTCAAAGTTAAATCCAATTCTACTTCCAAACTGAGGAGTCCCAGGGTCCTCACATGGTTCCAGATTGTATTCTAATATAGAAATAAAAAAGCAAATCAGCATCTCATTTAAAAAGTTTCATCATCTGACAAAAACAAGATCTAATTCAGGCCAAATCATTAAGTATTATTATCTTATTATAGATCACACATATGTACCTGAAGATATGTTTAACCTTCAGATACTCCCATCACTACATGCATGCTCAAATAAGTAATAGTAATTCAGTTGAAGTTTATAATGATGCTCAAACATGTTCAACAGAATCTGGGAGAGTCATTATTTATGAGTGAGAGTCTGACATATAAAATTATCCAAAAAGCTGTGCACCCTGAAAAAAAATCTGTTTTCTTATGAGTTTATTTGAAATATTATATCTTGCCATTGGTCTTGAAATCACTCTGGTGTGCTGTGATGTTCCTGTTAAATAACATACTTTACTTTTATTACAATTTTCTTCAACACCAGTAGAACAGACATATTGAGTTCTGTGTAATGGAAGTAACATCAAAAGCAATTGCAAAATGCATTTTTAAAAAGAAAAAAATAATATCAGAAAAAAGGTAATATTTGGATTTCTTCTTCTCACCCTGCCCCATCTTTGTCACTCTCTCTGAGGTAACTACTGCATTTTCTTCAATATCAAAAAAAATTGTTTTGTTCTCTTACCCGAGAAAGAAATATTAAATCCTTCATATGATATTGAAAAGTCAGAAATAAAGCGCAATTGAGCCCTGAAATTTCCATAGAGACCAGCATTGATTGGAGATGGAAGTTCTGAACCAGTCAGGCGTGCTAGTGGTTGAGTGAAGCTGCGATTTTCAGTGATTAGTAGGTAGTCATGATGATCTTCCAAATGGAAGGTGTGAAAGGTGAACTGCACTCCTATTATAAAAATAAAATTAGACTCACATAGTTAACATGAAACCAATTATATCATTGATTAAACTCATACATTTCATTCCAACCATGGGCTCAGAAAATTAAGCAAGGTTTATTTTACTCTTGCCCTCAGAGACTTCATCTATTTTGTCTCTCTCATCTTTACTGAAATCAGTTTTTTGTATTTATTATCCTGCATTTTGAAGGTATTTAATAAGGGCTAAAAAGTCACTATTTTTCATTTACAAACTTAAAAGACAATGTTAATATTAAGCCTTTGCCTAAACTAAAAACTAAACTGAACTAAACTGTAAACTAAACCAGAGGTCCCCAAACTTTTGGGCACCAGGGACTGGTTCCATGGAAAGAGGTTTTTCTGCGAACTGAAGGGTATGTGATTTTGTGTCTGCCTGCATCTCACAGATGGGGCTTTGCTTGTTTGTGCAGCCCGCTTGCTGGCACGCCACGGCCCGGTACTGGTGCATGGACCAGGGGTTGGGGGCCCCTAAACTAAACTAAACTAAACTACAAACTAGTTTCAATATCTATTTTTTTTTTAAAAAAAATGTTGCTATTCTTGATAGTTCAAATTATAACACTTAAGCATAACATTTAGGCTGCATAATATGAACCATGATTAAATGAAATGTAAATTCATACCTTTTCCATGTGTTACATCCACAGTCCATGTGCAATTCAATGAATTTGGGTACAGTTCAGGATAACCAGGAGACAGAATAGTTCCACTGGGTCCTCGAACATCCCCTCCACATAGAGCTGAAATCGTAAGGCCAGAATGTAAGGAGGAGAATATAAGGATATCAGCATAGGTAATCATTATAAGTTTACTAAAAAAACTGGAACTTCTAATGCTACAACTTAAACAGTCTGTAACTGGGAGGATCCTAGGAAAACTATACAATAATCTCTAAGTGCAACCAACATTTACACAAAGTACTCACAAAGGAACCCAATTAATTCATTGTTAAAAAGTTTTGGTAATAAGTATTCTGAATTGCTAATTATTGTGATTGATTTAAAATAATGAATACTTGAATAATGAAAAAATAATAATTCTTCCTGTCTGTCTGTCTGTCTGTCGTCCGTCCATCCATCCATCTGAATACCTTATACATTTTTTGAAGGGCTGGGGAAATCAAAGCATATGCTGAAATGTTTCATGTCTACTACAATTTTGTCAGCCTTCTTCCAATTATGATAAGGTTTGCAACAATAACTGATACGTAAATTTAAACTGGCATATTACCACCTTATATTGTATTATGGATGTGTTTCTCTAGCATCTTTCTGTACTATTCTAACTCATATATCTGAAATAGCAAACTTGTTGATGGAAACAGACAAGGGAAGAAATCAATTTTGAAAAGCAGAATGCTTCTTGAAGGAGAAATATTATGACATTGTGGTTCCTCTAGAAAATTTCCTCTAGAAATCTTGTGAGCAGCAATAACCATTTGAAACATTGCTTTACAGCACTTTGTCACACATATGTGGAAATATGCTGCAAAATTGAGAAACACTAAATTTCCTGTGATCAGGAAAGCAGATCTCAATGAAATATATACACCTTGAGATTTGACATCATTCAGAAGACTGGAGCTCAGAGTTTACAACAATATATAACAGTTCTAATACAAAAACAGATGAAAGAGAACCATAATATCATATCTAGAAAATATTAAATAAAACTCACATGGCATAAGAAAGAATATGCTTATTGAAGGATGAGTCCTTAGAATTCACAAGTGAACCCATAACCTGGGTTGTGATCTGCCTTTTTTCCTCCGTCCCCACTAAATTACCATTGTTTTAACATTGAAATTGTTTTGTTTTAGAGAACATACACATGCATGGTTTATTCAGGAAACAAATCATCTATACAACATCTTCCAACCAAATGGATATCATACAACTTTATCAAAAAGTGCCTGACCATTCAAACTGCTACAGCACAATCAATGCAACCTATGAAATGGATAGTACTGCCATACATCTCAGAAAGCATCAACAGACTATTACAACCACATGGCAGCACCATAGCAAATGAACCAACTATTAGGAATTGAAATTCTTTGAACGTTACAAATGGACACTTGAGGAGATTTGAGTAATTCGTAAAAATAACAAAGGCAGGATACAAATATAAAATAAAATAAAATGAAATGAAATGAAATAAAATAATAAAATAAAATAAAGGATGTGGCAGTCTCCTTTTAAACATGGGTTTAGTGTTCTTTTAAAAGAACACCTGAATTGTTTATTTTAAATTTTTTTTTTTTTTTTAGTATAGGTTTTAAACACAGGCTAAAAACACATAGTCCAATGAGAGAACACCACTTCTAGATTTAAACTGAGAAAGAAAGCTAATTTTGTGTGCCAGATGTTTTGGGCGCTAATTTTGTTTTCCTGATTTTTATCATCAGTGAGTGCATTATAGCAGGGGTGTCAAACTTGCAACATTACATGATGTGTCGTGACACATCACAACTGTTTTTCCATTTCTGGCAATGGGGTGGCAAGGTTTCGGCATGACGCATCTGGCCCATGGGCTGGCAGTTTGACACCTCTGTATTATAGGATATACTGGTTTCTGCAATGGGTCTACAAATTTCCCAACCAACAAGCTAAAGACCAGAGAAGGGATTAAAGAAAAGGAAGCCTCATGACAATGTTTGTTTGGCTTTCCCCAAACTGCATTTTAAAAGCCTGGATGCTGAGGTTTGAATAACTTGATAGATGGTTAAACTTGCAGTTTAATTTGTAGTAAGCTTCTGCATGCCTACACTTGCCCAGCCCCATTCTGTCTCACATTAAGAAGAGTGATTGGTACTTGTTCTCAACACTGGAAGGTGATGCTCAATCAGAGCATCATTACTTTCCTTGAATTACTTTTATATTGTAAGGCTAATAACTTATAGTAGCCTTGTTGCTAAGGCCGAATAAGGCTCAGCCATTGGGGCCCATCAATTTTTTTCTGCTGGCACAAGAACTGGCAATTCTGTATGATGCTTTTTAATCATGTATAGGTGTAGTTTCTTTTTCTCTTTAAATTAAGCCATCCTAATTTTAATCTGAAAGATAAAGGATTATAAATTCAGAGCATCTGTTTACTCAATGGACAAATCCCATTGTTCTAGAAGGAAAGAAAGAAAGAAAATCTCATTTACTTTATGAACTGTATACTAATTTAACCACTTGAGGAAGACATTTGTCACAATATATAATGTTATGCACAGTAGAGAATACTCTTCACAGACAGCTTCTTATTAGTGTTTATTTTTAGGTAGTAAACATGTAGTACATTGTGGCATAAAGAAATATGCCTACTATAGATATTCTCATTTATCCTCCATGAAGTTGATCTATGTAGCCTTCAAAATACCTTACAATGTTCCTCTTCAGTTACAAAAAAGAGCACTGAAGGGCTGATGAACACACTCTAATAGTCCATCTTATTCTCATACTATTTCAGGTTCAGTTGTTACAATAAAAAAGTAATCTCAGTTGTTCAGAAACCATTGACAAATCTGCCCTTTGCTGAACCCATTACAAGGAAAGGAATGAAATTGGAGAGGTGATGTGTAGGAATGGGCTGAAATTAGATGGAATAAGATTGTTGAGATCCTTTAATTATTTGATCTGATCCACAGCTGCATTCTAGATTATCCCTTTTAGATATGACCTTATTTAGCCTGTAAGCCAAAACAAGTTCATCCAGGTTCTGTCATCCTCTTACAGACTCATCATAAGCAGAGACTATACTTAGCAGTGAAAATAAATACTTTAAACTTTACAGACACTTAATGCACATATTTCATCATTTTTTTAGTATGTTACTGAAAAAATGCAATTTTCTGTCGAATTGTAAGTATGCAAGAATAGGCACACTTTAGGAGTGAACATCTTTCTTATAAACTGTGCTTTTAAAATAAAGACTAAAATAATTTAATATTTAAATACTTAACCTAAAGAAGGTTTTCTGAATTTATGGGGTTCTTACCTTGCCTTCAAGGTATAGGCTGGACCAAGAGAATAAAATTATTTGATTGGAGTTTTTGCAGTAAAGTTTCCATTTGGTGATAATAAAAAATACAATTGATTCTGGGGGCCCTGCGCATGTTTTGGAGAGACTGGAATTGTGAGATGTATACCATAATATGTGGAAACACTATATTAATTACCCTTACCTGCAAGTATGACAGTTATTTGTTCCCACAGAGGAAAATACTGCACTACTATGTTAAGAAAATCATTAAAAAATAATGTTTCTTATATTACTTCTTAATAACTGTTCAGAATGGAAAGAGGTGTGAAATTGATTTCTAAATACATTTTTCTTAACAGTCAAATTAGGTTGCCTACATCACTTATCACAGATATAATTACAAGATTTTTGTAGAGACCCTGTAATATTCAATACATGTAGACAGACAGGCCTCTCTCCCTCCAAAAATCAAATTTATATAGAAAAAAAATACTGTTGCTGTCTCAATAAATATAATGAATTTGTCTTTGTTATCAATATGGGCAAAACTGACTATTCATACCATCACAAGTTGGAAGTGGATGGCTCCACCAGTGGTTCTTTTCACAAAGCAAAGGCTCCTCATGGTTTAATCTATAGCCTGGGTCACATCCAAATGACACAGTTGATCCAATAGAAAAATCATGTCCATAACGATGACCATGTACAGGTATACCAGGGTCCAAGCAAGAGTACGTATTAACCATTACACCTGAAGTTCAGAGAAAGAGAAATACACAATAAGTTAACAACATGATAGCATGACATGACATGATAGCAGTGTTCCAATATCTCAGGGGTTGCCACAAAGAAGAGGGAGTCAATCTAATCTCCAAAGCACCTGTAGGCAGGACAAGAAGCAATGGATGGAAACTAATCAAGGAAGAGAAGCAACCTAGAACTAAGGAGAAATTTCCTGACAGTTAGAACAATTAATCATTGGAGTTGCTTTCCAGACGTTGTGGGTTCTCCAACACTAGAGTTTTTAAGAAGAGATTGGACAACCATTTGTCTGAAATGGTGTACGGTTTCTCAGTTGAACAGGGGGTTGGATTAGAAGACCTCCAAAGTCCTTTCCAACTCTGTTATATTGTTATTCTATTAAATGAGACATTTAACTACATAGAGATAGTTCTTGACTTATGAACACAATTAGGATCAGAATTTCTGTTACTAAGCAAGGCAATTGTTAAGTGAGTTACACCCAATTTATGATTGTCAAGTTACTCATTTGGTCATTAAGAGACTCTGGTGTCTCCCACTGACTTTGCTTGAAGGAAGCTGACTGTAAAGGACACAAATGGTTATCACATGAACCCAGGATGCTGCAACCTTCATAAAATATATGCCAGGTGCCAAGCACCTTAATGTTGATCACATGGCTGAAGTGATGCTGTGATAGTCGTAAGTGTGAGCTTAGGCCAGAAGTTACTTTTTTCAATATTGTCGTAACTTTCAATGGTCGTTAAATGAATGATTGTAACTCGAGGATTACCAGTATATAATACATTTTCAGGAAGATTTTAAAAGGAAGGAATGCATAAAAAATAGGAGACATGACTATCAAAATATTAGTCTATTCCTAACAGTGAGGACAATTAACCAATGGGATAGCTTGTCTTCAGACTTTGTAGGTGCTTTGTCACTGGAGGTTTGTAAGAAAAGATTGGACAGCCACTTATCTGAAAAAATACAGGGTTTCCTGCTTGAGTCCGGGTTGGACTAGAAGACCTCCAAGATCCCTAAGCCACTAAGAGCCATTAAGAACTTTATAATTATCCCAGTAGAATATCAACAATTTTTTAAGTTAAGAGAAAAACAAACAGTTTTTACCATGTGACAGTATTACCTTCATCACTCTGGGAGATATTCATAATAACTTTCAACCTTTCCATTTCTTCACTTTTAGGCTTTGAAAGCTACCAATATGGCATTTGGTACTTCCTATCCTGTCATCAGTGGAGGAAACTGAGGGTTTATTCCCCTACAATCTTGACTGCTACATTTGAAAAGAAAGTCAATGTTTTGACACACCACTCCACTCTAGTAAACATTTTCCAGATCTCTTTTACTTATAGGTTGTAGTTTGTGCATTTACTCTTTTCCATATCACAAACATTGAATTTTTGATTCAATCCATCTCTACAATTCAGAAATCTGAATAGCAATGCCTGCAGGAAATGCTGATAACTAGGATACTGTAACTGGAGACCTATTATCATTATTTGGCTGATATACAGCAAACAAGGGGAGCTTAGCATCCACCTTAAGGTTACAGGAGTCAGGGTGGCTACACACAGGGCAAGAAACAAACTTTCATATTTATGATTAGTAAATACAGTATATTGGTAATAGGGTCCACATTTCACTGGTTTGTGTAGGTCTCATGACCAGTCTGTAAGCACTGAGGAAAAAGTGGTAGATAAGACCATGAAAGATATTTATACCAGTGTGTGTGTGTGTGTATGTTTTCTGATGTTTTCGTGGGTATTTGTATGTAGGTCTTTGGTTGTTCGGGTTTTCTCCCTCATAAAATTGGAAGTGTCTTGGCGACGTTTCGATGAAGTCCCATTCGTCATCTTCAGGGTGGTGTTTTCAGCTTCCTGCTTTGAGCAGCAATGTGTGGTCTTAGCTGTTTCTTCCTTTTAACTGCCAATGGGGGTATGAACTGATTGGGTGGGAGCTTGGCTGTGTTCTGATTGGGTGGAGGTGTGTTCTGAATGGTTAGGGGCTTGGCTGTGCTCTGATTGGCTGGGGGAGTGTTCTGTTTGGTTGTGCTCAGGTTAGTCTGAGTTGCAGAGGGGTTTAAGATTTTGGGCTGCCTTGCTATTTTTTGGCTTCGCGTTCGTGGTCGTTCCTCATCTTCATGGAGGGTGTCAGTTTGCTTCATGTATGGATTGGAGGGGTTTAAAGTGGCTAATGATGCAGCTGTGGTCTGGCTTCTGGTTTGTGGTCGTGCCTTGTCATCGGTGTGGCTTTGGGTTTGTTTTTTGCGTGGATGTGTGGTGGTGACATCCTGTGTGGTTTTTGTGAGTGTGGGTCTGGTATCATTTTTTGTGTTAGGGAGTCGTTTGTCAATAAGGGCGGGTTTCCAAATGGCTGGTAGGCGGGAGGTATCATCTCGCTTGTTCATGCTGTGTGGGCGTTTTTCTATCTCGATGGCTTCTCTGATTATTCTGTTATTAAAATGTTCACTTTTGGCAATGGTTCTGGTATTTTTAAAGTCAATTTCATGTCCTGTGGCTTTAAGGTGTTGGATCAGGGAAGATGTTGGTTCCTCTTTTTTGACTGAGTTCTTATGTTCTTCAATGCGTGCACTTATTCTTCTGTTGGTTTGTCCGATGTATGTGGTGGGACAAGTGGTGCATGGGATTTCGTATACTCCTTGATTTTCTAATTCAATTTTATCTTTGGGGTTTCTAAGGATGGTGGATATTTTTCTGTTTGTGCAGAATGCTGTTTTGATGTTGTGTTTATGGAGGATCTTACTGATTCTGTCTGTGGTGCCTTTTATGTATGGGAGGAGGGCTTTGCCGTTTTCTTGTTCTTTGTCTTGGATTTTAGTGGGGGTTTCTTTTTGGATTAGGTTTGTAATCTTATTTCTATGGAATCCATTGGATGTTAGTACATTGGTGAGAGTGTGTAGTTCGGGTTTTAGGTGTTGTTCGTCAGCTAAGCGTTTTGTTCTGGAGATGAGTGTCTTGGCTACAGAGTTGATCTGTGCTGGGTGGTGGTGTGAGAGAGCGTGCAGATAGCGGTTTGTGTGTGTTTTCTTCTGGTAGATGGTGTGTCCTAGGGAGCCATTGGATTTCTTGTAGACTAAGACATCCAGGAAGGGAAGTTGGTTGTTAGTTTCTGTTTCCATGGTGAACTGTATTTTGGGGTATAGGCTGTTGAGGTGTGTGAGGAAGTTGTCCAGTTTTTCTTTCCCATGTGGCCACTCATCTCCAGAACAAAACGCTTAGCTGACCAACAAAACACACACACACACACACACACACACACACACACACACACATGTTTTCTGAGGTTTTCGCGGGTGTTTGTATGTAGGTCTTTGGTTATTCGGATTTTCTCCCCCGTAAAATTGGAAGTGTCTTGGCGACGTTTCGACGAAGTCTCATTCATCATCTTCAGGCTGGTGCTTTCAGCTTCGTGCTTCTAGGAGCAATGTGTGATTGTAGTTGTTTCCTCCTTTTAACTGCCAGTGGGGGTATGAACTGATTGGATGAGAGCTTGGCTGTGTTCTGATTGGATGGAGGTGTGTTCTGATTGGTTAGGAGCTTGGGCTGTGCTCTGATTGGCTGGGGGTTGGCTGTGCTCTGATTGGCTGGGGGGTTGGCTGTGCTCTGATTGGCTGGGGGAGTGTTCTGTTTGGGTGGGGGCTTTGTTGTGCTCAGGTTAGTCTGAGTTGCAGGGGGTTTAAAATGGTGAGCTGCATTGCTATTTTTTGGCTTCGCGTTCGTGGTCGTGCCTCATCTTCATGGTGGGTGTCAGTTTGCTTCATGTATGGATTGGAGGGGTTTAAAGTGGCTAATGATGCAGCTGTGGTCTGGCTTCTGGTTTGTGGTCGTGCCTCATCATCGGTGTGGCTTTGGGTTTGCTTTTTGCGTGGATGTGTGGTGGTGACATCCTGTGTGGTTTTTGTGAGTGTGGGTCTGGTATCATGGCTTTTCTGATTATTCTGTTATTAAAATATTCAGTTTGGCGATAGTTCTGTCTTTTTAAAGTCAATTTCATGTCCTGTGATTTTAAGGTGTTGGACCAGGGAAGAAGTTGGTTCCTCTTTTTTGACTGAGTTCTTATGTTCTTCAATGCATGCATTTATTATTCTGTTGGTTTGTATAAATGCACGCATTGAAGAACATGAGAACTATCGCCAAAACTGAACATTTTAATAACAGAATAATCAGAGAAGCCATCGAGATAGAAAAACGCCACACAGCATGAACAAACGAGATGATACCTCCCGCCTACCAGCCATTTGGAAACCCGCCCTTATTGACAAATGACTCCCTAACACAAAAAATGACACCAGACCCACACTCACAAAAACCACACAGGATGTCACCACCACACATCCACGCAAAAAGCAAACCCAAAGCCACACCGATGATGAGGCACAACCACAAACTAGAAGCCAGACCACAGCTGCATCATTAGCCACTTTAAACCCCTCCAATCCATACATGAAGCAAACTGACACCCACCATGAAGATGAGGCATGACCACGAACGCGAAGCCAAAAAATAGCAATGCAGCTCACCATTTTAAACCCCCCTGCAACTCAGACTAACCTGAGCACCCAAACAGAACACTCCCCAAGCAAACACCCAAGCCCCCACCCAAACAGAACACTCCCCCAGCCAATCAGAGCACAGCCAACCCCCCAGCCAATCAGAGCACAGCCAACCCCCCAGCCAATCAGAGCACAGCCAAGCTCCTAACCAATCAGAATACACGTCCATCCAATCAGAACACAGCCAAGCTCTCATCCAATCAGTTCATACCCCCACTGGCAGTTAAAAGGAGGAAAAGCTACAATCACACATTGCTCCTAGAAGCATGAAGCCGAAAGCACCAGCCTGAAGATGACAAATGAGACTTCGTTGAAACGTCGCCAAGACACTTCCAATTTTACGTGGGAGAAAACCCGAATAACCAAAGACCTACACACACATACACACACACACACATACATATGCACACGCACACACATATATATACCCGTAGTCAGGGAACAATAATACACAGTATGTTTGCCAAAGAATATGGAAAAAAATTACTTACTTTCATAGTGGATTTTGAATCCGTTATTAGATCGACTGTTATCTGTTGTAAACAAGAGATAAATGAAATTGCTGCTGCTGAATAAAAATTGAGGGACTTGTGTACCATTGTAAGATCCAAGAAGTGGAGACAAAAGATTTGGTCCATCATGTACTTCAAGAACATCATAATTGAGTTCTGTCTGGAATCTAAGTTGGAGAAGCACACAAAGAGACATAAAATATAATCAAAGACTGCATGCTCAGAACTTGTTACACTTGCTATTTGAAAAAAAAATATTATCATTTTCTATGTCCTTCAAAATCCTATTCCAATTACATTTTTCAAATACTAATGGTGAGCAGAGTTTATTCCTTTATTTCATCACTGTTCTAAAACCATGGCAGATATTACTATAACATGTCCCAGAAGTCCATATGTTTCTGAACATCATTGAACACAAGTGTTTCACCTTTCAACTGTGCAATACAGCAATTTCACTTCACTTCAGTGGATTGTATAACGAAGGAAGCCATGTGGTAAAATTCACAATCTAGATTCTCCCAATCTAGGAATTAAGTTTGGAGGAAAGATCCTAGATGTAGGGGCAAGGTTGTCAACTGAAGTAACTTTTATGAATTATATTTATAGACCATCCTTTTTCAGGTATTTGTTTGAGCACATCATTTTAATAAATGCTTTCCATGTGATTTACTTTAGTTTGGATTTTTTAAAAAAAAATTGAATGTGAAATACTATAACATTAAATATTTTGCAAAGGCGAACATCTATAAATATCTAAGTCTGGGCAGTTATTATATCAGATTCAGTCAGAATTTGAATAAAGTCAGAATTTGAATAATGAAGCTTGCAATAGTGGTGAATATGGTGTAGGTGTAGGATGACTGACACTAACATCCCCTAAATTCTGCTGAAGATGTTACCTAGCCTGGTAATGAAATGTTCAGAAACCAACCCATAAGCTTGGAGAATGAACCTTCACCCTCATAATAAAGCTTATCTAAGCCTGTTTGACTAACTGAAATGTGATTGGTTTTTTTATATCCATATAGATTTATCTTGATCGAACCATTTCTTTTACCTCATAATACAATATTTACTGAATAATGCAATTTTTAAAAAGTAAAAATCCTATAAAATAAATATTAATTAAAATTACTGAAACAAAATAATATCCAAATAGATATCATCAATTTGCTAAGACAGAATATTTTGATCTTAGCCACAACACAGTCTCACTATTAATTTTTTCTACCTCTTGTGTAAGAGGGATATGCAAATATTATAATACATTTATTTCTTAAACAAATTGACATGGCTGCTCATCTACCTGAAGGAATTTTGGATGGCAAATAAGAATTTAAAAAAATCCATAATATATTTAGAACAAAAAAACCTAAAATAAACAACAACAAAACACACTGTGGTCAGGAGAAAACTTGCATCCATTAATCAACAATACCACCCTAGCCTCATTAACAGGTCTTCACTGCTTTCCTGAATGCCAACAGAATTGAGACTATCCATTTTATAGGGGATGCATATGGTGTATAGCAGACACCATGACACTTTTGTGATCTCAGCAGGCACACAGTTTTCCAAGAGAACTTGGAGCATGCTCACACTGCCAAACCTAGTAGGATGGGCAAAATGCATCAGTCCCCTTTAAACCTGATGGTAAGCATCTTGAATTGAACTCAGAAGACTATTGAGAGTCAACGAATAGTAGCTGTGTTCCTGGGTGAAATGTTACTGCCTATGCTGCTGCATTCTGGACCAACACAGCTTCAGCATGCTCTTCAAGCACATCTCTAAATGGAAACCGAGAGCTCGGTGACTCATGAGGTTAGAATACTAGGCTGATGATCGACAGCATCGTGTTTGAGACCTGTTCCTCCTGCAGGACAGGGTGAGCTATAATCACATGCTTCAGCTCCTACCAACCCAGCAGTTTTAAAATGGGCAACCACAAGTAAGATCAATAGGTACCACAGGGACATGAAAGGCGCCCCCCCAACTGGACATTTCCTAAGCAATGGTTATCACCAGCAATCCTTTCCGCACCGAAGCATTTTGGTGCTTCCGACATAGAAGTATTAAAACTGACCAAATCATGAGTGACTTTGAGCAGCATATCTCAATCTAAGAATGGGTACAATTTGCAGATAAGATGTCTCTGTGTAAAGGTTCTTCTAACTACAGCTGCCACCTCTTCTTCAAGCAAGAGCTGTCTGTCCAGAAGAACCTCAAGATTGCAGACCAAATGTAACTTAACTTTTTTCTAAATCACTCAAACATTTTATCGAGGGTTTTAAGTGCCTTCTAAATTATCTTTTCAGAAAAAAGCATAGGTTTGTATTGAATTATTATGTTTTTTTTCCATGCAGCTGGTCTTCAATGTGCAATCTGTCCTCTTGAACTTTGTTTACTGAAGCTGAAACCAAGTGTCTTGTTTATATAGAGAACACTTGATGAATTATTAAATTGGGCATGACTGAATAGCATTTTTTTGTCTCCCCCACACCCACTAAGAAACAAACACCAAAATTGGGAAAAACATTACTAATGCTAACTATTCTGTGAAGACAAGTATTTTTGCTATATTGCCTAAGACAAAGTTATGTTCAAAAGAGTAATGCATGTGTCTGACTCAGCAAATCATTTCTTGAAAATTGATTCAAAATATTAATTGATAAATGTATATATGAGATTTATATATGAGATTTAATGAAGAAAATAAAACATGCTTTAGTTATAAAGACACATAAGCCCAGGTTTAATATCATTCCTCAGACATAGCAAAAAAAAAAAAAAAAAAAATCAGTATCTAAGCAACTAAGAAAATCCAAAGAACATTAAGCTTACCTGTATTCAGATTTTAACTATACAGTACAATATTATTCTGGGAAATGAATTAATGGTTTTATGAGCAAGAGCCAAGTTCATTAGTCTAATGCAGTACTTAACAACATACTGATTAACTACTGGCATTTAAACTGTAATAATTATGTTTCAATTGTCACACTAAGATAAAAATACTAATGCATATTCCCTTCTCTAGTTGTTTCCTATCTTTGTGATAATACATCAACCTGTAACATTTAACAGATCATGTCCTCACTTTTCCAACTGAAGAAAAAAGGGAAACATATTCTTCAAACCTATGGAATTTAGAGTCTTATTCAGGATCAGTTGCATGAATTTTCAATTTGAAAGATAACTGCGAAAATGGATGTCAAACCTTCTAAAAACAAATGAATATGTAAATTAGCTGTTCTTCATCATTTTTTTTAGAATTTGGCTAACCTGGATAATTCAGCCAAATACTTATATCAGAAGCAGGGATTGGCTTAAGTAGTTTAGCACCATTGAAAAGGGTAAACAATATAATGGAACAGTCATCTAAGCTAAATTTCCAGCAAGAATGGTGCTGTTTGAGAATTATATTAGTAGGAGAAAATTTGTAGGGATAACTTATTGAGCTTCTGAATTCAGAGAAAGAAAGAAAATCTGATGAAGTCAGAACTACCTTTAAACTTTTAAATTTTTGCTTATTCATCCTGTATGGATATTTCCACTGTCACATAGGTATCTGAGAAAAGACACTGCTACAGTAAGAATAAAAAAAAATGTGTGTTACGTTTTGTATACTACTATTATCATTTCAATATATGTAATACATCAGATGATATTTGGAGTAGTAACTTGAACTCTGATTATTTGGAGTAGCTCTAGTTTGGGTGGTTTATTTTTGTTATGTTTTTACTCCCTTGTAATGTGGCCAAAGTCTTTGAGTTGTGTTAGGCTATAAACATCCATAAGATAAACCAACTTTTTATGTAATTTTGGCAAATAACAATTTCTGTGAATTTATTTATTATGGAAATGTTCCCTGAGAAAATTTCATTTGCAAATTTTAAAGTAAAATATTTACTTCTTGGACTTCTCAGTGTTTAGGATTAAGGGGTTTTAGCATATGTAAAAGAAATATATCTATTATAGAACAACATTCCCTTCTACATGAGAAATGTAGAAGAGGGTGGGGCAATCTGTAATTCCCACAAGGGCCCTTCACTGATTTTTCTTTCTTTCTTTTTTCAAATATAAGAATAGAAATGTGTTTGGGGAGGCTTCATGTCCCCATCTCCACCTGATCAAAAGCAGATGTTTTGTTTTTGATACCAGTACATTACAAGTTGTGCTGACTTGCTTCCAAAGTAGAGGTGCAGAGTTGCATCTCAAACCACTGTCTATGTACAGTATAAGGTAGGGAATCATAGATTTAGAGAAACTGAAGTTAATAGAAAAAGGGAAAGAAAGGAAAAATAGTGATTAAAATATAGATTTTCCTCTTTTAGTATTTTCTGTTCTTTCCCTTTCTTTACATCTTTTTCGAGATATATCTTTCAGAATTATGAAGAAGAGTTTTGAAGATGACTGAGAAAAGCAACAGCAGCAACAACAAAGCCATAATAATTCCAAAACATCAAGTGGAACACCACTTGAACACCATTGCCATTGAAAAAATCAACACCAGTCATTTGCAAATGGCAGCTTTACTTGGGACAGCTTACATCCTTCAACATAACTTTAACACCATCAAAGAACACCTATCTATCCTAGGTTCTTGACAAATACAGTCTAAACATTAGTCAACAATCTACACACACACACACACACACATTCTTAAAAAATAGTTACCACTGTTATGACATGTTCAAAAATTAGACATTTAATGTAACCCATACTTTTATGGATTATATCCTATATTGTACTAGGTCTTCTCAAGCATTGGTCTAGATTTTTTTTTCAAACATAGGAAGAGTCATAGTCTATTGTATTTATCTCTTAATGATCCATAAGATACTTACAGTAATCTCACAAAAACTAGATAATCACAATGGTATCTACTTTATCTTCCAGGAAATACCACTGAAATACACAATGCTTTTATTAATGGATGGAATATAAAGCCATCATGAATAATTAGTAACCATCAAGATATTTCAGGGTATCAAAGTACAGCTGTGTCCTGGATCTAAGTTGTTATTTATTTATTTATTTATTCATTCATTCATTCATCAAAATTAAAGACCATCTATCCCACTCTCAAAGCGAGAGTGAGAAGTAAACACTTAAAAACATAAAAACTGTATAAAAATACTATATTTCAATAAAAGGAGGCAAGTTCCATTGAGAGACCTAGTTTGTAGTTATTATGATGTCTTAGACAAGCAAAACAGTACACAAAAAGTTTAAAACTAAAAACAAATGTTGAAGAAAGACAATTTTCTAAACACATATGTATGTAGTCTGTCCTGACATTACAGGACCTCTGTAGAAGCCTCTACTATAATCTAATATCCTGTATATAAATACATCCTAATTGTAACACTATCATCAAAGTATGTTACAGAATAGTTGGGATTTTACATAGAATTTTCAGAATTTTTTTGTTCCATCACTTTGAGCTTACAAAATAGAAGCAGCCTCTTCATCTCCATCAAACCCTTAAGTCATAAAATTTGAATAAATAACCTCTATCACTGAATCCATTGGATAACAATGATATACATTCAGTGACCCAGACTCCTCTGCAAGTTTTTACTGAAGTATAAATAAAAGAAAACATGATTAAAACATGGCTCTGACCTGGTGGAATCAACTTCCCCCCGAGATTCGAACTACTCCCACCTTGCCGGCCTTTAAGAAAGCCATTAAAACTCTCCTGTTCCGGCAGGCCTGGGGCTGATGTCCCTGGGGGGGGCGGGATACGATTGGACATGCTGTATGAATGTACTTATTTTACTGTTTTATTGTTATATTTATTGTTTTAATTTTGTATGCCGCCCTGAGTCCCTCGGGATTGGGCGGCATATAAATTTTAGAAATAAATAAATAAATAAATAAATAAATAAATAAATAAAATTGGCTTCTGATATATAATGCTACATAATCAATCATAATAAAAGCTCTTTTAGCAGATGTCCTTTTAATTTACTCTAGTTGCAATAGACAAGATTTTTTTTACCAGACCAGCATTCAAAAAAACTGTAATAGACATTCTTAAGCATTGCACTCTTAGCAGAAAATTCTCTTAAATTTCTTAAACTATATCAGTTTGCATCACTATGTAATAATTGCATAAATAACCCATTTAGACTATTTGTATAATGAAGTCACAAATGATGAAAATCACTCTAAACATCCTGATTTGTCTCATCTGTAATGATGTCATGATAAAAAGAATATACACAGTGCAAAAGAGTTTTGGATTTAATGGACATTCAGAAGCAATGGACACCTCCCTCCTACTCTGCTGGTCTATTAAATCAAGGTTTTATTTTTCCGCTGTAATGTATTGGCCATCAGTTAAAAGTAAAAACAGAAGGAGGAAAAAGAAAGCTTTTGTCAAGACCTTTCAAATGTAATTTTGATAGAGTGTCCTGGTTCTGCTTCAATCACCCACTCACAATTCAAGGAGTCTTTATAATAGCCAGGCCAGCCTGGAGAAAGGATGACTCCACTGGGGGCTGCAAAATGTCCACCACATGGAGCTGTAAAGAATAAAACAACAAGTTGTTATTGTCAAGGCTAGAACAGTAATCATGCTCAGATTTCTGAAATAAAAGAAAATCAAAAGAGTGGAAAGAAAGATTGGAAAGAAGGAACTAGTTTATCTTCCGGGCTTGAGTCAAAGTGAAGTATAAATCAAACTAAGTCAGAAATAAATTAGTGCAGCCATAAGCTGGCATTGCAATCCTAGATAATAGAATAACAAGTTCCTAGTTCAGATTTTACCACTCTCATCAACTCACTAATTCAATTGAGGGCAAGACATAATTTTTATCCATTTATTTAAATTTGCTTTTAAAGTATGGCCCTAACCCCCAAGGATATGTGCAACATTTTTTGTATATGCTTCTCTGTGATTAAGAGGAAGGAATTGCTAAGAAACAAGAGGGAGAATGAAATCTAGTCCTGTCCTACTATCACTAAGGTTTAGATTTTTGTTCGTCTCTGCCTTTTCTCAGTACCTCCCTCCCGTGATTGTTTTTTGTTTGTTTGTCTGTTTGTTTGAAGGGGAGGATTTTCAGTTTCAATTCTGAACTATATTTTTATATCCAATCCAAATGAAAAATCTTCACAAGCAATGTGCTTCTGTAAATAAGTCATTAAATTACTATTTGCAGCATGGGGATATTAACACCTCTTGTATGGTTATTACAAAGACTATTCAAATTGTTACCTAAAGCCAGTGGCACTCACAAACAGTAAGTCCCAAGAAAGCTGTGTTGTGCCGTTGCCATTTCTATGTGTGTCATGAAGTCACATTTAGAGTGACCCTGTTTTTACCAACATATCCATCCCTAAAAATGTTTTGCTTTTAAAAATCATCTCAATGTGTCAAATAAATAACAAAATTTCATTTTTGATATATGCCATTGTGCCACAGTAAAAAAAATGACAATAAAGGTTATCATCTTAAAAATGTGCTTCATTCATATAGCACATTTTACATGCTCCAACCCCTTCTCATAAAACTGACAGCTTTCATCATACCCTCATACTGTATGGAATGAAACTGAAAAGAATTCATATTTTATAGCAATGGGGAAAGACTTTAAAGCCCTATTTAGTTTCATGAAGTCTGAACATGGATTCTTCCCTCTCTTGTCTTTCCCACCCACAGATAACAAAGAACAGCTAATTTCTCTAAGGGAATGTAACAGCAGATTCTTGTGAAAAAATTGATAGATGAATGGATTCTGAAATGGCAATAGCTCCTTTATGTATTTACAATATTATATATTAGCAAGTTTTGGAAAAATAATATCAGTAGGGAATCTACTTGAGTAAAGTACAATATGTGCTTGCACTTGTTCTTATAGGGAAATAATATTTTCATGAACTAATATATATGGAGATTCTCAATCATCCAAGTCATGTTTGTCCCAAAGATGCTTTTCCAAAAGGCAATTGGACTTTCTTTTTTTTTCTTTAAAAACTGAAGAAGCTTCTTGGATGACAAGCAAAATATTTTCAAGGAAGGAAAAAAGGGAGGGAGGGAAGGAGGGAGGGAGGAAGGAAGGAAGGAAGTCCAGTTGCCTTTTGGAAAAGCACCTTTGGGACATTTCCACAAATAGGCTGGGGAAATTAATTTGTTGTCCACGTCTGAAGTTCATACCACTTAGATTTAGAAACTGACCTGACATGATTATGTCAGTACAAACATATTTCTGCATGTGTGTTACATGAATAAAAATGTAAGATCAAAATTGTCTGCTGCATTTTGTTCTTCACATTGATCAATGGTAAGGCCACAGTAGCAATCTACTATTTAGAGTCTCCATAATTGGTCCTGAGTGTCAAACTGACTCCAATATTGAAGAGTATGAAATAGAGTAATGTGTGAACAATATTGCATTAAGCATTAGTTGATGTCTCCTCAATGTACTCCCATTCATCTTTATTGGGTGATATTATGAACTCTGAAGATGACAAGAGCCTGATAGGCTGTAGCCTATGGTTGAGGACAGTTTGTTATTCACTGGAAATAGTAGCATACACTGCCAATTCTGAGAACAAGGAGATGATTTCTGAATTTGGGAGACAGTTAAAGCTTAGAATGTGTCATCAGCTAACAAAAGCTTAGGAGCAGGGACCATCATATCTCCTTGAGTGAAATGAATGTCATCTCTAATATTGAAAAGGCCTAAAACTCCAAGGTCTTCTTCTCTCATGGCTGGGAATAATGTTCTATTAGTGGAACTGTTTTCTAGCCACTGATTCTCGGTTTGTCCTTATTCCTTGCTCTGCAAATAGTTATTTGGCTTATGATCCATGATTTAAATATTACAACTAAACTTATACACTTGATGTAAATGTTTGCTTGACTATGATAGGGCATATTACTAAATTAGCTGAATGATTGAGCACATTATTAACCAAATAGAGCACTGCTTTAATTTTAATGCTACGTTAAAATAATAAGCTAAAAGTAAGCTACTAGTAATTTCAATAAATTTTAGATTTTCTTTCATAAATAAACTGAGGAGCATAAATTGTGCCAGCTGATAAATATTTTTTATATATAAAGAAGAGAGTTATGATTTAACCCAGTTACGTAACCAATAACAATAAATTATTGATATATTATCTGAAACCATGTGGGAAATTATGGCAGCGTCAAAATATTTGAGGTTTTTTTAATTATTGACCTTGTAAACCCTTAATTCGGGGTACAGTTGAGATGACTTTATGGAACTGAGTATTTATTGATTGGATGCCCTTCCTTACACAAAGCTCACAGCAGATGTTTTCTTTTTGCGCCCAGAGACAGAAATATCTGCCACTACCTAGGACTGAACTCACAGTCTCCTGATTGTGAGGCGAGAGCTCCAACTCTAGGTCACCACATCAGTCAGTGTAAAGTTATTTGAGTATTTTAGAAAATAGATTTATGGACCTAGAAGTTTTAGATATGACAATGAGCAACTGAAAACTGTTTCACTTGAGAAATATAGAATCTGAACAAACATATGAAAAAAGACCACCATGTACAGTATTTAGCCCCCTGTACCAAATATTTAATATATGCAAGATTTAGTAACTTAGATTATCATCAAAAATAATCTTATCAGATGATATTTTCACAGATTTCATCCTCATCATCATCCTCATCATCATGGCTGTGAAATTCACCTATTAGGTTACAGATTAAAAACAAATATACAATATATATTAACTTTAACACAAAAAAAGTTTATAAAAAAAGTTACAAATACCTCCACATTTAGGGATAGGTCCACTCCACATGACTTTACCATCCATTAAAACACAAGTAATTGTTTCAGTTCCTTGAGTTTTAATAAAACCATCTTCACAAATCACAGAGATAGAACTTCCCAGTTGAAAATTGTCTCCAAACCTACGTGCGTTGATTGGTATACCAGGATCAGGGCACTCATTATGTCCAAATGCTTTAAAACATCAAGAAGATGAGGAAGGAATAGGACAAAGATTTAACATTATCAGTTATATTTCAAAATTCTTTGAGCCCAGATTTCAGATATTCCAATTTTTTTCTTGACCTCTAAATTAATCAATGTTCATACTATCATAGATGCACTATGCTCCATGATATACTAATTTTCCCCCAATTATATTTAATGCATTAGTTGATGAATATTTTCAAACATTGCTTTGACAGGTTTGTCCTAATTTCGGCTAAGTTTCTCCTCCACTGAAGAACTGAAGTACAAAATTAAAAGGGAAAATAAAGGGGGGGAGAGCTTCATTTTATTATATGTTTTAATTCAAGAAGTGCAAGTTAGTTTGGTTGAGTTTACAATTAAAATTACTTTCATGTTCTTTGTATGTGAGATAGATAGATAGATAGATAGATAGATAGATAGATAGATAGATAGATGGATGGATGGATGGATGGATGGATGGATGGATGGATGGATGGATGGACGGACGGACGGACAGACAGACAGACAGATGAATGGATATAGGTTGCCCAATACCACATTGGTGTCTGTTTTAATTTGGTAACTATATGATAAATTCCATATTCAAAATTTTGATAAATCCTAAATATGGCAACACATCTTGTATGTACACAGTATATTGATAATCTTACTATTATTAAGTGGATGCAAAATTAAAAACACTAAACCTAAAGGCATCATTATAATAGTTTTGTTAACACATAAAGTTTTTGTGTTATTACCATAGAATTACCCTTTAAATTTCTCTTTTAGTAGACATCCTTTTTTCTATTCACACGAACGAGACAAAGAGTCAACTGTTGACAAAGTCAAGTGGCTTGAGGGCAATAGCAATTTGTCAAACAGTTCATAATTTAAAAGCAGAACAAGAACTGTGACAATTTCTGATTCAGGTTGTATATTCTTCATCTCTCTCAGGAGAGAAACAGAAAAGGAGAGAGAGGAAGGAAGAATAATCAGTGCAACTCTAAAGAGCTTTTGCAGTGTCCTCAATGTTTGATGATCCACAAATATTTTCACTCACCTACAAGAGTGACTGCTAATAAGTTAAGTAGTATGGTTTTAAGAGAGACTGAAAGAGCATTATGGACAGGATAGGATATAATTATTTATATAAGATAATGCATAGGATGCAATGGTTATTCACTGTACAGTTACATTCTAAAACTGCTGCATCCTTTTCTTTTCCAAACAGAAAATTTAGTTCAAAACATAGAAAGGTGTCATTCCAGTTTAAGAACAAAGAACTGCTACTAAAAATGAATTTTAAAAGTTCATTGGGAAAGAACTATATCTTAATTTAGCATAACAATTGACACTAGGCAAAAATTTGGAAATATGTCAGAAACAAAACCGGAATCACTTGTGGCACTGAAATAATTTTATATAATAATCTGCTATGACATCCATCAAAGCCAATTTAAATTTAAGGTTCTTCAATTACTTTTTGACAACTTATTATTGGCAGCTCTTGCCACCGGTGTCACTTTGGAAAAGGCACAAACTTACATTGTTATTAATAGCATAAAGTTGTGTGTTACTGTCATGCCTCCGTCAGAGCCTGAATCTGCTGAAGAAAATGAGCTGGAATGCGACCCTATGGAGGTCGAGGGAGAGGTGTCTGTGGCTTCAGAGGCATGTGAGGAAGAGCAGGCGGAGGCAGGCCAGGACCTTTCAGGATTGGAACGGGATGAATATGAGAGACAGAGATCAGGCGATGAGCAAGGGCCACCCCCTCTGATCCTAGAACTTGAGAGTGGAGAGAAGGAGGGAACAACACAGGCAGGCTCAACTACTCGGGAAAAGAGCACTCCACCCCTCTCCACAAGACACACCTAGAGACTGAAACTTAAGGAGACGCTGTGGGGAGGGCCATTTGTCAGGAACAAACGCTGATTACTTGGAGTTTTGTGTGCTGTTGCTGATCTTGGAAACTGTCTGATCTCTTGTTTGGGGTTGTGATTTCTGCTTGGAAACCCTGAAACTCTGACTGGCTGAGAAACTTGATTTGTGTTCAAAGACCTCGGATTGTATTTTGGCTTCTCTTCAGGCAAGCTTGTATTTCCACAGACTCGTTAGATTTTGGATGTATGTTTCATTCCTTGTTATCTACGTAGCCTTGAGTAAATTACTCTTCTAATCTAACTGTATGTGAAACAACTTGCAGCCAGAGGCTGCTGAAGGTGTGTGTGTCTTACTTTGTTCTGGGGCTTGCCAGAAACCTGGGAACATTTGGGAAAATTTGGGGCAATTAAAGGGCAGTTTGAATTGCCAGCTGACTGCATTGCCTCTGTGGCATGCCCTGGATCATCACAGTTACTTTAGATTAACACAAACTTATACAGTGCAATAAAATTAGACACCCACTCTCTTTGTCATATTTATAAGGTGTGAGAACGTTAATGTAACATTCTTGATACTGTTGCTTGAAAAGGAGAAGGAAATAAACCCAGGTATTCATCTCATAACAAGTCTGTTTTGTGATGCAATTGTATTAGAAGTAAATAATGCAGGAACGGAAATGAAAACAATCAAAAATTAATAAGATACATACATTTGATAGGGTGGTTTCCAGACAAAAACAGAAAGAAAGAAAGAAAGAAAGAAAGAAAGAAAGAAAGAAAGAAAGAAAGAAAGAAAGAAAGAAAGAAAGAAGGGAGGGAGGGAGGGAGGGAGGGAGGGAGGGGAAATCAGAAGATACCATAAACCTTCACTTAATTAATATGGTCTAAATACTAATAGTATTAACAATAGTCTGTCTGTCTGTCTGTCTGTCTGTCTATCTATCTATCTATCTATCTATCTATCTATCTATCTATCTATCTATCTATCTATCTATCTATCTATCTAATATATCTATGTCTGGAAAAATAAGGGCATGAATATGATTATTAAATATGTAATAAACACATTTACTCACTGTTATAGGAGATATTAAATCCACGGCCTGACATTGAATGATCAGCTTGAAATTCCAAGCGTAAAATGTGGTTGTTACTAGTCAGATGGGATGGCACTTCAGCTCCAGTGAATGTGCCAAGTATTGGAGAATCAGGAGAATCACCATCTTTAATTGCAAGAAAGTCAAATTGAGATTCCAGGTCAAAATCATTGAAGGAAAGATGAATGCGGCTCCCAGGGTCTGAGATGATTGTCCAGATGCAATTCAAGTTATTTCCATATCCTTCTGGGTAGTCGGGAGAAAGAACAGTTCCCATCGGTGCCGTGAAATTAGATAGACAAGGAACTGTCAAAAGTCAGGAAAGAAATTAGAAAAGAGATAATAACCCGCATAAAACTGACCTTCTCAGCCCTTTCTCCCAATATTTAATTTCATATTCTTATTTATTTATGCATTTATTGAATTATTTCTTTATCACACCCCATCACTAGTTTGCAATGAAATAAAATGTAATATTACTACACTTCCAGAGAAACATTCAAAACAACATTAAAAATGCTTTATTAAGATTGATTCGGAGACCTTTTTTAAAAAAAAACAGTCAACCCAAAGTTTACGGATATTGTTTAATTCTGAACCCAGTCCCATTGGCTCAATCAGGTAATGCCTTTGGCAGCTGAAAAATAGTAAAGTCACTGAATTCCCACTCTAACCCTGGATACAGAGTATATAGTACATATTAGTTGGAACCAGTTCTTTGTTTCCATTCATCCTGGAAAGAGAGGTATTATTCTGATGGATCAGAGATGTATTAGCTCATTGCCAATTTTCCAATTTTTTTCTAGGTGCAATATACAGGAAAAAAGTATGAAAGATGAACCAAACAATGATTACTGCATGGAAGAGAATATTTGCATCTCAGGATTGAACTGTAGCATTCCCAGTGTTCTTTGTACTTGGTGGTTTTTTTGCCGACATTTTATTACCAAACTAGGTTGAATCATCAGTGCTCAGTGCTGAATGCTTAGGATTATAAACACCAGAAGATCCTTCCTAGTCTTATCCTCCTAATAAAATATTAGGGATGCAAAGACCTTCCCTTTTCTACTTTCTTCCTGGTTTAAGAAGCTTTATTAAAAAAACACAGGAGGAAGGGCAATGATATTCTATTGTTTAGATCATTGATTGGTTAGATTGTTAGATATAGATGGTGATCATCATAATCAGCTCCTCCTCATTTTTTTCCCTCCTTTCTATTCAGCCTCCTCTCAGAAGGTAACAAGGAAAACAGGTCGTGTGGAGGATGTGTAGCATCCCAGACTATCCTGTGGACCTTGCTCGAGCATCGCTTATATGCTATATCCTGGATAGAAGAAAGAGAACTGCCAATAATTTTTTCTGCCATTCTCACCACTCTCTGCTTCCTGTCTGAAGCAGTAATGCTTCCAAACCAGACAGTAATGCTGGCTTTTAATCGTCCCTCTGTAGAAAGTGGTAAGTACAGGAGAAAGAAGATTATGTGCTTTTCTCATGCAATGCAGAAAATGCTGGCGCTGCTTTACCCGCTTCAACAATGTCTCCCTGTTGAGCAACAAAGGTAGTCTACTCGTTAGCGGCACACCCAGAAACTCGATGTTCCTAACCACTTCCACAGGAGAATCATTAATACACAGAGGTGTGTGGTTGTGCCTGCCTTTTCTGAAATCAACAATGATCTCTTTAGTTTTTCTTGCATTTAAAACGAGGCTGTTTTTGTTACATCAGTTCACCAAACCCTCTAAACCCTAAACCTCTAAATGAAAGAAAGAATTATAAAATTCTGAAATACTTATTTGGATTTCTCCAAACCTGCTTAAGCCCCAGATATATGGTATTTTGTTGGTTGGTTGGTTTATTTTAAAAAGGGTGATTTTTGGTCTGGGTGGTATTAGTGCTAGACAAGCAAAATATAAGACTCTAGGATTATGCATGCACTAAAAGAGATTTGTGGATAGCGCAAAATTGAAAGAAATTGAAAGAATCTACAATTTAATTGTAAATCAACTATTATTAGGAATATTTGAGCAATAATCCAATCCTATAATTGTCCATAAAATTATGCAGAAGATAAATTATAAATACAGAAAATTTAAAGACCAAAATTGTTTGGTGAGACCATAAAAATGTTTTTTTTCCTGAAAAGATTTTAGTTTAAAATAGTTTTTCAGTAATATATCCATAAGTTAGAAATTATTGGAATATACTAAGTTATACTCACAAATGCATATAGGTATGTTTGCTGACCACTGGTTATTCTCTTGACAAACAATAGATTTTTCTCCAATCAGTTCAAATCCAAACTGGCATTCAAACCTCAACACATCATGATTGGAAAACCCATCTCCTTCTCTGATGCCATATAATGGTGTTCCTGGATCTCCACAACTTTCTTTTTCAATCTCTGTTAAAAAAAGATATGTTACTAGTCAATAAGCTAACTATAGAAATTTGAATTTATCTAAAGCATATGAATCGAAGTGCAAATATTATAAGCTACTAACTGTAGCACTAGCAGCTCTTCCCTAAAAAGTAGAAAATGATGCAAATAAATGAACATATCCCATGAAAAAAGTGTTTTAAGATTTACACAGCCAGAATTAATATATATGTGTAAATCATCTCAATTACTACTGAAATAATTATTTTATTTTGATCCATCCTGGATTTTCAGATAACTCATAACATGGAATTATTAGAAGTCCCAGATGTATTTCTAGTTGCATTCAAAGCTAGTCACTGCATTGGGTCCAATGAATATAACAACATAAATGAAATCTGGTGTATCTCCAAATTAGCAGCCCACATGAGTTATTTCTCTTCCACACACCACATGCTTTACTGGGCAAATATGATATTTAAGGTCTGATCTGAATTTTGTTTTAGTAGAAGAAGATGACAAGAAATTCCAGTTGTACAGGAAAAAGCTTTCAAGTGATTGTCCTCAACTCTATGTGGAATCATTATTAAACTAATTAGATCTCTGTATTATAAAAAGAAAGACAGTACAGGGAAATGGAAAGCAGAAAAAGAATTGGCCTGAAGCATGGGGAGAAAACATAGAGGAGGAAAAGAAAGAGAACAATGAAATCTATTTTATCAATTACATTGCTGTAACAATGGGAAGGATGCACACACAAGAGTCATTTTATATTTTGTTCAAAATAGCCTTGGCCATCTGGAAAAAAGCCACACACTCTTTTGATATCTGCTCTTTCCACATGTATCCTGATTACATTTTTGCTATTATGATTATGATTCTCCAATTTATCTTAACAATTGCTTTTCCATGTATTGTATTCCATATATTAATAGCTGTAAAGCTAGTTGTTCTGCTAAGGGACACATTTTCTCAGAAATAATCTAGAAGTCCATTGGCATTAACAAAATAAAAAGAAGAAACTAGATGGAAACAGAAAGACCAGAACACATTATCTCCAGCAGTCAAGACCATGATAAGCAGGGATTAACACCAGAGAAACAATCAAGCAGAAAACAATACTGTAATCAAGGAACAACCATGGAGGGAACCCGTATTCCCCCAACGCAAGCAGAAAAAGCTACTGCATATAAACAGGACGTAAGACCCACACTCTCTAGCATTGATGATGTTACCTAATCCAGTAATAAAATGCCTGCAAGCAAAGAAGCAAGCTCAGAGAGCATTAAGGATTCCACTGAAGCCACTTTGAACTGGAATAGAATTAAAAAGATATAGTATCTCCTCCTCCTCCTCCTCTCCCCAGTAGGTTGAAAGGGAAGGTACTTGACTGAATCAATTGTCTGAAGAAGACTTTGACCAATGCCATAAATCAAAACAGATTGCAGACTGCCTATGCTGCTCTAAGAAAGCCCCCTGGGAAAATAAAAATTGTAATCAGCTACATTCCATTTGTTTTGTTAGAAAGACATATTAAGATTCATAAAAAAGGATATCCTTCTCTCGGTTAGGATGATAGTATGAGGATCTGAGTCCTGTGATCTGAAATTCATTTGTATGGATTATTTTTTGGGGGGAGGAGAGTGAAATCATTGAAAAATAAATCAGTAAGACATCTCCCAACACCTGCAATATTAAGAAAAATGTAATCCTCTCCAGTTAGTTATCAAAAGACCTGAACCACTAAATAAAGTGCAATTGTAATAGTGAACAAAAAATAATAATACTTAAACCTCAGAATATTGTCCAATTGTTTTTGCACGTGTTCCTACAGTTTTAACCAGTTAATAGCAAATTATTTGTGCCATAGTCATATAAAGCTTACACTTATGTACTATATATTCCTGTAAATAACTGCTATAAATAATTCAAAGAACTACATCAGAATTCCTATGATCTCGTTGTAATCTAAAAGACGAGAAGAGGACCTCTTGTTTATGTGAGCTCAAAGACCATTTTAGAAATTCTGTCCATTTATTTTTTCCTCTCTCTTTCCACATATTTATATTAATATAGATAATAACATGACAACTTGCCTGGTTTTGAACTCTTGAACCAGTATACCAAACATGCAATTCATTTAAATTTAAAAATGTTCTCTGTGTTAAATTATCATGCATATAACTTGTCCAGATGCCACTTTAGCAAGTTTATATTATTTTGTTTGAATTATTCAACCTACATTCAGAGCTACACATGGTAATATAGCCTAGTATCTCCCATACTTAAGTTATTAATGCCTTTGGATACATTTATCATCAAGAGATACAGCTTTCTCTGTGGAAAGGCTTATATTATGAAATAAATTGTCAATGAAGTTGAACAAGTCTCTTCTTTATTATAGCTTAGGAGAAACCACAAAGGAATGTATTTTACCAGGATATTTAATGCTGCTACTTTAGCTTTCATATTTAAAAAAAAAAATAATGAAGATCACTGATATTTGTGTAAGTCACCTAACATAAGAGACTAGGTGCCACATCCATTTTCTAAATAAAATAAGCAGAAATGAATCACTCAACAGGTGTGGAGAATTGTGATAATTCAGGATTGACTTACAGCCAGAGGAGACTAGAGACCTTTTCTGCTTTGTTATTATTGCATTTTTTTTCATTTATGTTCTTGTCAGAAAGAGTCTTGGCTGAATAATGAGAGTTGGTTTGAAAACTGGTAGAAAGTTATTGGAAATATAAACTCTCCTGTCCAATTGAAGGAGTGAGTTAGGCTCTGATAACTTTTAAGTTTGGATATGTGTTGAAATATGGTCCTTATCATTTCTTCTAATCTACATTTTCTTACCAGTCTCACTTTGGCAATAATCAGTAACTCAGATAGCTCTCAAGAGAATTCATAAACCATTAGCATTGGTTGTATGAAACTAGCCAATAGCTGGAAATGTTATTTATGAGGCTGCTCAAATTTATAATTTTTAGCTGGGAATCATGAAATTAGGATAATATTGGAGCTTCTGAAGATGAAGCATGGTCAGGAGGTACATAGTTTTATATGAATTCAAAGAAACATTTTTAAAAAGACATTTTTCCCAGTTTTATTTTCTTTATGTCTCATAATTATTTTCAAAGCAGCTAAACTTTCCAGCTTTCAAGGATCTATTGCAAATAATGGAACTAGAAGTTAGTTCTACTTTATTTAAAAGAATAAACTTGGGGAAGGCTCTTAGAAAGCACAGAAGTAGAAGAATAGGAGAACATTTCATCTATTTAGGAGGTTCAAAGGTTAAAAGAAAAAAAGTGGAACAGACTTTGTATATAAATAATCAAGGCACAGACAGTTTGGTTCACCGCAGACTGAATAGTCTTCTAACATTCTGAACATTTAATGCTTATAAAAAATGTAATGAATGGATCAATCAATTTGATTCTAGCTTTGGAAGAGGTACTAAAAATGTTATCATTTTGCTTCAGATAAAAGTGATGGAAAATTCAGTGTTTCTATATATGAAGCAGCAGCGCTGACCTTCTTATCATGGTGGCTCCTCAAGATCTTGGATTATATCTCTCAACAATCCAAACCAGAATGGTAGACAGCAACATTTGCTGGACATAAGGAGAGTTATAATGCATCATATCAGAAAGATACACAGGAGAAGGCTATCAAAGTAATGTATCACTTTTAAATTTTATTTAAATATAGTGGGAGCAAACCATGTTTGATCATGAAAAAGATAAGCAGGGTCAGACATGGTTAGTACTGGGAGACCATCAGGAAGCCTCTGAGCTGTCCAATACACTAGGAATGGGTGGAGGTGGAGGGAAGTAACATGGCACCACTTCTATACCATTGCCACTGAAATGATGTGGGTCTATCCCTGCAATCCCCAGAAACTGAGACTTACATGATCAAGGTTTAACTTGAGCATCTGAAAAACATTGAAAAATTCACAATTGTTCCATTCTGTGAAAAAAAAAAAATCTTAAACATTTTTCCACTGTGGAGGAAATCCAACCTTTTACAACTATACAGTTTTGATGGAAATATGGCTCACAAGCCTAACACAGACAGTAAATTGAGCTTGCTACTGATAAGAACATGTGGGCATTTGCCTTATTTAGCTTAAAGAGAAAAGGAAAAAAATATGATTCTAAACGAGTGAGACTGACTTCACTGAAACTTTAAGGAATGAGTATATGAAAGAAAGGAAATGGAAGAACTTTAGATCAGATGTCCCCAATCTGTGGGCCGCTGCCCACTACTGGCCTGTGGCCTCTTGGCCACTGGGCCACATAAATGGCTGGCCAATGCACACAGGCATGTGCAGCCACATTTGTTTCTATGCACATCACAAGTAAAGGTTCCTGCTCCTTCCTTTCCCACTGAGCTGCCAACCCAGTTGGAGACCTCTGTTTTCGATGGCAGCCTAAGCAAAAAAAAAAAAAGAGTAAACAAAATAGCCCTTGAAGGAATTGTTTACACAGTTATTAGACAGCCCCTCCCTCTTCAAAAGATGTTTACTCTCAGTAGCAAAGTAAAGGCATTTAACATTGACATAACAATCCAAGTTAAAAGACAGCAAGGAGAAGCTGTTTGTCAAAAGTCTGAAGAATCTATTTCTTTTCTTTCTTCTATAAGTAACATGAATTACAGCTAGTCCTCAGGTTATAATAACAATTGGGACTGGCATTGCTGCCACTAAGTGATGTGATTCCAAAGTATTGTAATAGCAATAGCAATTCTGACAGTCTTGGTTGCCATTATAATCTCAGGACATGAAGGTCATTAAGTGGGAAGAGGTGGGAGTCTGAGTGAGGAACATAAGGGAGAGTGCAGGCAGGCACTGAGGCTGCAGGAGTGACTTATAGGGACAACATGCAACCTTCCCTGCTGGCTTACCCATTGACTTTGCTTGTGAGAATCCAGCAGGGAAGGCTGCAAAGGGAAATCATATTATTGTAGTTCACTGTAGAGTTGTGACTGTGAACTGGGCATGCCCAGATTGTAATCGT